AACTCACAAGTACTTCATCATTGTGCACAACAACAGCACCAAAGGGGCCTCCATCTCCACATTCAACACCTTTATATGCTTCTTCAACCGCCTTCCTTAAGAACTTGTTGTCTCTATCTTCCCCATCTCCACATTCAACACATTTACATGCTTCGTCAACCGCCTTCCTTAAGAACTTCTTGTCTCTATCTTCCCCATCTCCACATTCAACATCTTTATATGCTTCGTCAACCGCCTTCCTTAAGAACTTGTTGTCTTTATCTTCCCCATCTCCACAGTCAACACCTTTATATGCTTTGTCAACCGCCTTCCATAAGAACTTCTTGTCTCTATCTTGTACACCTGGAAAAACCACAAATCAAGATGCAGAATAAAAATACAACAGAACTTGAGTCATGGGAATGAAATCATGAAAAAATTTATTTCACAGTGTCTGTAAGAAAGAGAGAAGATGAGCAAGGGCAACTTACTGTTAGCTTCCTCCATTTTGAAGTTACGTTGATTTCAATGTGGATGCAAGGTATGGAGAAAGCAACTGGTTTCATGTTTATATATGCAGCAAAGATCCACACAACTATTCATTATGTGATTATATTTTATTTGGTTAAGTTTTCAAAGTGGGACTTAAATATTCTTCAACACTCTCCCTCACGTGAGGCAACTCTTTAATGGGTCACACGCGAAACAAATTCCACATTGGTCACCTTTAAAAAAATTAAAAATAAAAATTTGGGATTTGTTTGATTTTGGTTCAACTTGAGGTTTTGTTTGATTTGGGTTTAATCAGGCCTAATCTCTCAGCCCACTTAAATTTCAAAGGAATGAATTTGTAACCAACTAGTAGCAACATCAATATTGTCCCAAACTTAACTACATGTTTAGCAAGTGTGGAGTTTCATACAAAAGACCTCGATGTGATTAATAGTAGAACCATTCATTATAGAGGAATGCTAGCAACCTTCTCTCTAACTTTCTCCTTTGGACCTTCTCTTTTTGTTGCTTGACATATGTCATTCTCCTTACACTTAAAACAATGTCATCAATATATTATACAAGCTAATTTTTGCTTTCCAAGTTTACCCTTATTAAATGTATTCAATTTATTCAAAAAAAATTCAAAACTTTCTTACCATCTTTTTTTTTTTTTCTAATGCCAATTATTTTTTTAAAAGAAAATATGTGCTTTTAAGAGGAAATGTAAAAAAAAAAAATCCTGTGTTTAAAAAAAATAATTAATAAGATAGTAAAAAAGTTGTGAAATTTTTTTGGATAAATTTAATACATTTAATAAGAGTAAACTTGGAAAGCAAAAGTTAACTTGTATAATATATTAATAACATTGTTTTAAGTGTAAAGAGAATGACACATGTCAAGCAAAAAATGGAGAAGGTTAGAGAGAAGGTTGTTCGCATTCCCCTTCATTATATGTTATATTTTATTTAGTTACGTGAGACTTCAATATTCTTAAACAGATATCGCATGGGAATTTGCCAAGAGGACTTGATGGAGGAATCTGTCAATTTAAGTTGATATATGCCTTTTGTTTTCTAAGTTGCCTATCTTCTCCTACTTTAAAGAATAATATCTCTTGGTTATCTTCCTTTTATATTACATTTTCACCTTTTATCTTCCTTAAAAATTTAAAAAGCATCGAAAAAAAGAATCAAATAAATTATTTTTCTACCATTCGAACTTTTATTCTATGCAAAAACCATTGTGAATGATGGATTGACAGATTCACCATTCTCTATTAGGTTATACTTTCATTTCATTTTTGAAGAAATACAAATTCACTAAAGAATAACCAAAGAACAAGCCCACCAAAGGGCCAACAAGAAAACAAAGCCCACAAACCGCCGTCTGATGGCTGAAACTGTAGAGGACGATTCCTTCAAAACCCCTCTGTTTGCTTGATTTCTTTGTTCGTTGATATTCTGCCTGGCTTTTCAGCCATTCTTTCGCCTCCTTTTCCTCTCCGAACAAATTCCGATGCCCACTCGCATTTGTGTGGTTTGGTTTCTTTGTTATTCACATGAGCACATACATATCTTTTATTCGATGTGTTTTAACTCTCTTTTTTTGTTCCCTTTCTTTCATTTTTAAATTGAAAAAGTTGATTCAGCAAAGAAAATATTTTACTGGACATTTGAAAAAGAGTGGCTTTGATTTGATGCAGTTCCCAATGATCGAACGCGAAATATATACAAGTTTCAGCCTCGTCTAAATCAATGTCATGTTGAAGATTTTACAAGTTGATGATCTTTTGCCACTCAATTTCAGACAATGGTGTTGTCGAACATCGAATTTGTAATCTTTGTGGTTATGTTATGTTTGCTAATTGGAAGGAGACACGTCATTTTCCTTTGCCATTTGGTAAATCTGCACGCCTATATCTTCATGATGAAACAGAAGTACTTCTGATGCCATTTTCTGCTGCTCTCCATTCCTACCTATTTTTCACTGAAATAGGCAGTGGACCGTCATGGATCCAGTTTGGGGGCAAACTCTGAGCATGTTATCCCACTGGGCTCTAAATTCATCGTTCCAGAAGAATTCCCTCAGTAGCTCAGGTGATAGTATTCGAAAACGGTTCTTGTACGGTACTGCGTAGGGCCTAACTAAAATTTGAAAACAATGTTACAAAGAAAGACGCATTCATTCATAATGAATAATGTGACATGAGAATTGGATTTGTATTGGCTAAAAAAAATTGAAAAAAGTTCCAGACGGCTATACTATTTGATAAAGCAAAATTAAGAAATAAGACCCTCCTAGTTGCATTAGAATAAAATACGTACGCATAAACAGAGTATCGCCGCGCAGCTATACTATCTCTGTTAAAAAAATTCAAAATATCAAGTATAGCCGCGCGGCTTGACTATTTCTTTTAAATAAATAAGAAATAACAGTGTATAGCCGATCGGTTCTTTAAAAAAAATTGGAAAAAAAGAGAGTATAGCCGCTCGGCTATACGATTTCTTTCAAAGAAATAAGAAACTCTCATCGGTCTCGCCTATGTGAGAAATTAATAGCTTCAAATCATCCTCAGTCAAGTCGGACCATTCTCCTTCGTGATGAAGAGGCTGAGTGAAGCACTGGCCATTGAAGGTGGTGGCTGTGAGCTGAGGACGGCTGACAAACTAGGATCGGATGATAGCTCTCTGTGCCTGTGGCTGCTGAAGGAATGGATGAGCCTAGAATATCCGGAAAAACAGACGCAGCAGCAATAGCGCGGTGAACTAAGGGATCTACGTTCTCTACCTGCACAATTTTGCAACAAAATATCAAATACGGTAAAATTGAAGTTAAAAAACAATCCAGATTTGGTGAACTTCAAGCATAAATGATAACAGTGTATACATTGAAACTCAATTTGTATTAATTTAAACTGAATCATCATGCAAAGCCTGAATAAAAAATGGAAAAGGGCAAGAGTTATCACCTCAACATTAACACCAGAAGTTTCATGAAGAAATTTTTCTGCTGATGACAAAGAAGATATAGGGAACATCCATAACCTGCAGTTTCAACACTTACATCTGGATTGGGCTCCATCTCACAACATGTCCAGCATTTGTAAAAGACACAACCAAACCAATGAACCAAACATAAGAACATAAAAGGGAGTTGAAGACGTGTACCTCTCTTTTGCATTCCATGAGGATTTGGGGATCTTGCGCACATACTAGCACCTGGTGCAAGATAGAACATAATCGATAAAGCAAATGAAGAGTTTTACAAGTTGTAAATGAGCATTGTTTAAGCAAATAGAAGGAATACCTGGTCATAAGGAAATGTTGTGGCAATGCTTCCACTAGCATGAAGAAATAATTTGACAGAGAGCTTAGGTAGCTCCTTCCGACGTTCATCTTCTTGCAAAAAGGCAACAAGTTGGAGAAAGGAGCCGAGAGATATGCAGAAATTACTTAAGGTCAGCAGGCAGAACAATGCAACCAGCAAGTAATAAATCAGTTGAATGCCAAAAAGTTCAGAATGGTATCAAATTGGAAGATTCAACCATTGGTGAATGTCAAGGTGGGATGTTTCTTCCTGATCCATTTTCAACATTTAAAGAGAAATCTGTGGAATATGAAGAAGGAGGAAAAGAAACATTTGTCTGTCTTTTTAAGAGTAGGAACCTCCTATTCATGCTCAATACAAGTTGCACAAAAAATGAAGCAGTCAAGTAGGTTTATACACATATTTTTTTTCTTGGGAAGAGATGAATTTTGATACTGCAGTAATAGAGAAAATTTCAAAGCAATAAACTGACCAAGATTTACTTTACATGGATGGGACTGATGGAGATAATACTCTGGTCCCAGGAGACAGAGGTGCTACCTGCATTGTTGCCAAATAAATAAGTTTATTACAGCACATCCTTGAAAAAACAAAATGACAATGAAGGTAGTGAAGGTAGTGAAGGTAGTGAAGGTCTTAACTTTTTTTTTTATTTATAAATATTTCTTTTTAAAAAAATGTCCCAAAAGCAGGGTAATAATTCAAAATGAAGAAATGAAGAAAGAACAAAGTCAAATAATCAGGTATCTGAAACCCTAGAAACTTAAAGAAGGAAAAAAGAAAAGTTCCACCTTGTTAGGAAGAGAATTGGGAATGGGTTTTGCAGGGGAGCTTTGGAAGCAATTCGTATACATTATTTGTATTCAATAATATGTGAGAATTTTGTGTATACTTTGTGAATTTTGGTGTATTATTGAAAATTTTATAATAAAAAATACTTGTATTAAACATAAAAAATATGTACATACATATTCAATACGAGTATAGCCGCGCGGCTATACTATTTCTTTTAAAACAATTCAAACCCGAGTAGATCGGCTATACTATTTCTTTTATATAAAAAATTAGAAACAGCGAGTATAGCCGTGCGGCTATACAATTCATAAATAACTTGTCCCCATTTCTAACAATGCAGTTTGGACTCGATTATATTAGCACAATGAGATGAGGGTTAATATATCCAACGGTCGAATTGGATTGACAGCATTTTAAAAAGATGCGCCTGAAAAGAGAGATGGAAGAAGCAGAAACCCTAATCGCGGAGGAGGAAGAAGCAGAAGAAGGACGATTCTTCGCATGCTATCTGTTGAGCTCTCGCAGCCCCCGCTACAAAGGCCACACCTATATTGGGTACCTTCCATCTTCCCCTAATTCTTTTTTTTCTTTTTTCAAATTCCCAATCTGTTGAGAATAATAAGATCAATCTTGATTTGAACATTTTCGATCTGAACTTCTTTAAAGTTTGAGACTTTCTTGTAGAGCTTGGAGCAATAAGAGAGCCCACTTGAACTCTGCCTTTGTTTGTGCTTATTTGGGTGATTCTGATACAGATTCACAGTGAACACACGGCGTCGTATAAGACAGCACAACGGTGAAATAACGCAAAGTGCTTGGAGAACGAAGCGGAAGCGTCCATGGGAGATGGTGTTGTGCATGTATGGTTTCCCAACTAACGTTTCTGCTCTCCAGGTCTCTTCATTTCTTTCTTTTGTTCTCTTTGCAGTTAACTTGTCTATGGATTGCTCTGCATGATCTGTTTGTGTTTTTAATTTGATTGATTGGGACAAATTTCGTGAGAATTATATTCTGATAATTGTGTGTCATTTGCGTAGGCACCAATTCTAGGATCAATTTGGGCCTGATTAAGATTTGACTAATTGGGATTTATATTAATTGGAAATTTGGGACCTTCTTTCTAATGTGCCCTTTGGAACTTTGCAGTTTGAATGGGCCTGGCAGCACCCCAACTGTATCGGAGGCGGTTAGGCAGGCTGCTGCAAGCTTCAAATCACGGGGAGAGCTTGTCAGTAAGATCAAACTTGCATACACCATGCTCACTCTCCCTCCTTGGCAGAGGTATCATCCTATTATCTTCCTTGTGAGTTGTGAATGGATGAATATACATATGCTTTTGCTGTTATTGATGGAAAGTGATATTGTTTCTATGTATCATCAGCTTGAACATCACTGTAAACTTCTTTTCAACCTAGTACACCAAACATTCTGCTGGTTGTCCACGCCTTCCAGAACAGATGAAAGTCAAAGTCTGCTCCATGGATGAGCTTCGTTCCTGTACTAAACTATCTGATGACCTTTTGGAAAATGAAGATGAGCGGTGTCAGGAAAGGGAATGTGATGAAGATATGAATTCCAGTACACTACCCGAAGAAACATTATTGGACTTCAGGACTCATAATTCAGCAGATGATCAGCAGAGTGATAGTGGCAATAGAATTAGTGAAATATATGGATGCAGAAAAGAAGTAGGAGAAGATGAGTGGTATAATGGAAAAGAATGTGATGAAGCTATGAAAGATGGTGCATTACAGGAAGAAACATTATCAGATCTTATAGTTCAAAGTTCAGCAGATGATCAGCAGGATGATACTGGCAAGATAATTAACGAAGCATATGGATGCAGTCAAGTAGTAGGAGAGGATTGTACAGAGCAATTTGGTTTTATGGCATCGCCAGTGAGAACGCCATCTTCAAATATCACTACCTCATTTGACACAGAAGTAACTAAAGATATAGGTTTGTGTGGATCTTCTGATGACATGAGTGTTGAATTGGGCCGACCTGCAAGGGAACAATCAACAGCTATAGTTGCAGACGATGATCAGTCTCCCAGCAGAAGCTATCTCCGGCCTTGGCAGAGGTATCATCCTATTATCTTCCTTGTGAGTTGTGAATGGATGAATATATACATATGATTTTGCTGTTATTGATGGAAAGTGATATTGTTTCTATGTATCATCAGCTTGAACATCACTGTAAACTTCTTTTCAACCCAGTACACCAAACATTCTGCTGGTTGTCCATGACTTCCGAAACAGATGAAGGTCAAAGTCTGCTCAATGGATGAGCTTCCTTCCTGTAATAAACTATCTGATGACCTTTTGGAAAATGAAGATGAGTGGTGTCATGAAAGGGAATGTGATGAAGATATGAATTCCAGTACACTACCCGAAGAAACATTATTGGACTTCAGGACTCATAATTCAGCACATGATCAGCAAAGTGATAGTGGCATTAGAATGAATGAAGAATATGGATGCAGTAAGGAAGTAGGAAAAGATGAGTGGTATAATGGAAAGGAATGTGATGAAGCTATGAAAGATGGTACATGACAGAAGAAACATGATCAGATCTTATAATTCAAAGTTCAGCAGATGATCAGCAGGATGATACTGGCAAGATAATTAACGAAACATATGGATGCAGTGAAGTGGTAGGAGAGGATTGTACAGAGCAAATGGCACTACCTCATTTGACGCAGAAGTAACTAAAGATATAGGTTTTTGTGGATCTTCTGATGACATGATTGTTGATTTGGGCCGACCTGCAAGGGAACAATCGACAGCTATAGTTCCAGACGATGATCAGTCTCCCAGCAGAAGCTATCTCCGGCCTTGTGGAGCTGAGGTAATAGATTTGACAACTCCAGCTCCCCTATGACTTGACTGGTTCTCCCAATTTCATCCAACTGTAGAATAGAATGTTGTACATGTGTACTACAAACAATCAAACAATTGTACATATATGTTTGATGATTTTATCGAATAATTTAGAGGAATTCAGTGTCATCTTTGCCTGATGGCACATTGTAATCACAATATATAGTAATAGCCTTCTGGTTAAAGTCTTACAGTTTGAATGAAATAAAAGATCTTTTTTACTCACTTCACTTGCTACATTTTGTTCTGTTATTGTATATCACATATCATCTGCTCTATGAATTAAGAGACTGGAAGTGTTTCTAAGTTAATTAGAGCAATTTTAAGTTACAACTAGCTAGCAATATTTGGTAAAATTAACAAATTAAGAGTAAATTTACTAGACAAATAGAATCAGTTCATTGATAACTCAAAAAGGTACACAATTAAAGAAACTAAAGCCGATCAAAATCGTGGTACAAATATATTCATCAATACTCAGTTCTCTGCACACATTGAAAATTAGAGAGCTACAGCCATCACTTGTAGAATTAATTCCTTATACACCAACCAGGAGCTGATCTAATGTCGCTTGGGACCAGTTAGCCAATTGGCTACTTTGGGTTTCACCAATCGGATCAACATCATGAGAGACCACATTCTCAAAGTTACTTGGGCTCCAAGCTTCACCGAGTAGTTGTTCCATGTTGGCCGTCGTATTTTCCTCATTCTCAAAGTTACTTGGGCTCCAATCTTCACCAAGTAGTTGTTCCATGTCGGCCATCGTATTTTCCTCATTCTCAAAGTTAATTTGGGTTTCACCAATCGGATCAACATCATAAGAGACTGCATCCTCAAAATTACTTGGGCTCCAAGCTTCACCAAGTAGTTGTTCCATGTCGGCCATCGTATTTCCCTCAAAGATTGTCAGATCAATCGGATCAAAGCCCACAAGATCACCACCAACTGGACTGGAAGAGCAGCCTTGTTGAGACGATGATTCTGTTGATCCCATTTGATCATCTGTTTTCATCTTTTTGTTTGTGGTCATCTTATTTTCTTCTTTATCTTGTGATCCACGCTTTAGATTTGTTGCCTTGATCCCGACCCTATCGTTCTTCCTCATCCGGCAAATGACAAAATCAAAATCGTAACCACGTTGATTGTAGTCATTCTTGGGACCATCGAAAAGACTATATTCATCTAGTAGCCACCCTGTGTGATCCTCGGAACCTTTATTCTCATAGCGAAACTTTCTCTTTCGGCCAATGGGGTTCGGGTTGGGATTTCCAGAGACCTTTTCATGAACCAATTTGGAGGATTCAGTTTCGCTCCAAGTACCCCCGTTGCCAATCCTTCGATCCATCCGCTTGGGGGTTAACTTCTTGAGCTTGGAGATGAAGTACAAGTCTGTATCAACGAGTTGCGGCCCTCCGTATTTTTTCCAAATCTCCGAAGGCTCTGTGTTGTTGCCGAAGAGATTGCAGGCACGGAAGAAATTGTTGTATAGCGACATGAAGGGCTTGCTCTCTACCAAAAACGGGTAGAGAAAGGAACCCACAATCTCTTCATCGGAGGGCCTGAAACGAAAACCGAACGGCACAAGAGACTCTTCCATTGCTTGATGCTGCTGATAATGAAAGAACAAAAGAAAAGAGAGAGTAGAAGAGAATTCAAGTTTGAAGTGAAGTTTTTGTCTGAATTTCTGTGAGTGTTGTTGCGAACAAAGAGCATCTCAGTCACTGCTATTTATAAGTTTCCTTGGCGAGCATCTCACTCACGGAATCAATGTGGTAATGAAACAACTAGAGCCTGTCAACTTTTAACTTTGAGCATCTCACCTCACTGAATCTGGAAACTCCTTTTATTTTATTTTATTTTTAATTTGAGAGAAATTCGGAGAGTCGGTTGTGGTAATTAAGGAAGTAGTACCTGTGAACTTTTAACTTTGAGATCCAACGGCCCATATAATAGTACCGTTGACATCCAACGGCTTATTGTGGGAGAGTTAATATTGGAGAGATCGTGTCCGAACAGTTAGTACTTAGTGGGAGAGAGAGAAAGATCAACTCCATCTTTGTTTTATTTGTTTTTTGTTTTTTGTGTGCTGCTGCTTTAATTTTTGTTAATGCAATATTTTTAAGTGAAATAAAATTGTTTGTAGAATTTTGATTTTTTATTATTATTTTAATTTGTTCAGAAAAATGAATCTCTGACGGTGATGTAGGCACGAAATTGGCGGGACAATCGAATTTGATGATTATGGGGGATGTGAAAGGGAGGGGGTTGTATAGGTTTCGCAAAGGTTGAAACTTTGAGGGTGAGGGAGGGATGAGAAGGGTCTGTTTGTATGTGATGAGAAGGGGCTCTTGTTCTTGTTGGGGTTTAGGGTTTGGTGAGGATGGGAAGAGAAGAGGGTTGAGAGCACGACAGTGGAGGAGGAAGAGGCCATTGTTGAACTTTTGGGATTGGGATTGAGAGTGAGGTGGGGAGCTGAGAAATCACAACTACTTTGTACTTGTTATAATTTAATTATTAAATAAATAAATAAATGCAAGAGACATGAAGGTTGTTGGGAGGAGTTGAAGATGAAGTTATGGTTTTGGACGCTAACTATCCCGTTACTTAGGTGTTAGGATTTTTTTTATTTTTTTTTAATTAGGAGTAAATTGGGTTTTAATTTTAAGATGATGTGACAATTTGTAAATCTATTAGATTAAATTTTAATGAGGTGTCGTATGGATAACAAAAATAAAGCAAATCATGGCAGGGAAAATGAGAGCAGAGGATCCGAATCCTTTAGATTGTTGGTAACTTGCCAGACTACTTGCCTACTCCTTACTCATTCCTTGTACTTGGTGGTGGACGGTGGATACTGGGGTGAGGAGTGTGTAGTTTGCCTTGGTGGTGGACGGTGAATACCGGGGTGGTGAGGAGGTGTGTAGTTTGCCCCGTTGCATATTGACTTTTTAGTAGCTATGGTCATGAACTTAGACTCAACTTGCATTTGTCTGCGCAACTCACAAAATGAAGTAATAAGTGTGGTCTTGTTAATGTTTTAACTACCAAACCCACCACCTTCAACAAAATTTTAATTTTAATTATTAAAAAAAAAAAACGTTTTTGACATTTAATAAATAAAAAAACCGTTTTTCACCCGGGATTCTACTGGACTGCCTGGACCATAAAACGGAAAAATGCATCATTTGTCAAGACAAAAACTTGTTTTTCTCATCAAGAGCCTTGACAAGTTAATGGTGAGCTTGTTCACCCGACCTATGGGTCCTAAGCTACCATCTGCAAATTTCAACAGGCAAATCATGCATTCACTTCCTAATACTGAAAGTAATACAATATTGCCCCTGGGTATCGGAGTTAAAATCTCTTCCCTGGAAATAATAAAGGGTCTAGAGTGCAAAAAGAATCAGCATACTCCATCTCCAGATTTTCCTTTTCCAATCATCAATCTACACGTGAGTTCATGAATCATGCACCATGGTTGCCAACCTGCGATCGTCCAATATGTGACAGCCTTGTTGATTGAGTTAGGGGTGTCTCTTCATCGACATCGATATCGGAGGCTGATCCACTGTTGTTGGGGATAAAAATATCAGATGACTTTTTCTCCATCTTCCAATCCTGTATTGGCCGCCATGGAAAAACAAGTGTTAGAACAAATATAAGGGGGTTCAATGACTCCAAACATTTTATTAACACTAGACATAAGGAAAGTAATCAGATTCTTGAGAAAATAAACCTTTGAAATTCTCTCCGGAATACTTTCAGAAGGTAGTTGAGATGCACGAACATCCTTAACCTTTATATAGTTGTACATGACAACACCACACAATGCTGCAGGAAAAATCAACTTACGGGTTAATTAAAGTTCTAAATTCAAAAGTGTACACACTGCAGTCGTAAACTGATACCCCCAGATAATATGGAAGGAGAGCTACCTATGGCATAACCAATTATGTTCAGCCTGGTAATCATAGACTCTGGAAATATAACAGTTGAAAGGGCAATCAATATCCAGTCTTTTAGAACACCAGCAACCCGGATGGTAACTGCTCCAGTTCTACCAATTACTAAGAAAATGGAGAAGTTCAACGCCAAAGCACAAAGAGCATTGGAGAAAAATATCCAGAAGTTGAACTGAATCTGTGAAACTTCCATGGAAGACTTCTCAAGTAATAACCAGGGCACAGACAGGAAGACAAAGCTGCAAAAACAAAAGAATTAATGGTGAGATGCTGATGGGATGGCATGTGTTAAATCATGCATCAATGGAAACAGTACTTGAGTAATAGAACTGTGTTAAATCACATGCATCATCAATACGGAGATGCATGGTATAGATGGATCATGCATACACTGATTGTAAGATCACTACGTTTCATCCACTAAATTATGAACCTCAGCATACAGATTCAGAAAATCGACATTTAAAAGAAGCAATAAATCTCATCCACCACCAAAATTAAATTCTAGAAATGAATCAATATCCTCTATTAAGATTGGATGCCAAATGATTAAAGAGTTACTTATTCATATTTTGTGCTCAACATATATAGTATACAGGCAGTCGCCTAAATTGCAATTCATATAACACTTCTAAGTCAAGCATCACAATATAATACCTGCATGGAGCAATATAGTATAAGCTGGTGATCGGATTTAGAGTCAAGCCCTTCTTCTGGAGAAGGACTTGTGTTAAGACCAGCCTAAGAGCCTCTGCAAAGATGCCCGTAACCTGGTAAACTGTACCAACTACATTAAAATGAATCTCCCCATATGACGAAATGACAACTCCAACACTGACCAGCACCATGTTTGAGAACACGTCGCACCTTGGTTTGTCAGTGCCACACAAAACAGCCATGATAAAAGTAGCCACTGGCACTGCAGCATGGAATGCAGGTATAAGCAGCCATTTATTTTAAAAGCATCATTATTGAAGTAAAATAGAATTCACAAGTCTCTGTGCATACTTAAAGCTTTGAGCATTTGGATGAACGCCACAGAAATATGCAAGTAAGCAGTGTTTCCAAACCTGTAATGACAGAAAAACAAAAGTTCAAAACCAAAAAAAATGTATGAACTCTCCTGTCTTGACTGTTGATACAATTACACAAAGAAAAACTCAACAACCCTGCAATTCCTAAATGTGGGTATTGCATTTGTCCCCAAGTCCGAGGAATTTGACATTCTACAGCGGGGAATCTCAAC